TAAAATCTTCAAATTTGTACTAAAACGCTGGTATTTTGGTTGTCTTTGTTTTTAAAGTTAAAGGATTTACAGATTATCACAAACATTTTTACAGCGTGAATGTAGTGAAAATTATTGCATCAAATGTATTTTACAGAATATCACATACTTCCAGTAGCAAGAGCATTTTGCAATTGCAATTTTTTCTCATCCTTTTGTATCATCTACTTGTAAACTGTTGGGAATCAAATGTCATGTTCAGTTCAATCTGTCTTTTTAAGTGTTTCCACAATTTCCATTTTAATAGTTACAAATTATCTTATTCTGTAAAGAATCATTTTTGTGTTTAATCTGTTCACTTTCTTGATGTTCTGTGTTCTTTATTTAGGGAAAAAGATTAAGAATTAGCTCACTCTGTAATGCATATATTTTAATTGAGCATTCAAAATTATCTCTTAATAAATAGCTCAATTGTTATAAGATTTTTTTCCAGACCTCACTTGTATCACAAGAGTTATAATTATAATATAAATTTATTTAATTTGTTTGCTGATTGGGGGGGGGAGAGAATAATTTTGTTTGCTTTTTCAAAAAGCTAAATGCTTTGTTTTTTGCAACGCTGCACTGCAAAGAGAATCTAGAATGCCCAATATATCCCCCTTGGATAAAGATTGTTTCAAATAAATTACACAATTTCACATAAATAAATTCTTGGTACATTATTTTTAGTTATTTTTTAACCCAATATAAATGCAGAACAAGAAACATCATAATCTTAACCATTATGTAAATAAATATTGATATTTTTATGAACTCGTTTGTTTTCTTTTCATTTGTCTGATGAAAAAAAAAATTTGTAATTGGGACACATGAAGGTTTAAATCAAGGGTTGCAAGTTATTTTACTTTTGTTGAGATGCAAACGAAAATGATTGTTAGGGTCCAAACATTTTTAGAATTGTTTGTTTTAGTCCATCAAGCTGTCAGGGTGAAATTAATTTAACCAACAAAACAATTATCGGATAACCTTAAAAAGTCATGAGTTTTTTTTTAAAGATGTTGTCATTGTAGTTGCAATTAACTTGGTGATGCCATGTTAAACCTTGTTCCTTTTAAATGAGTACAGGAGAAACTGCATACACTTTACATTGGTTGTTAACCTGACTTGGTGATGCCATGTTGATAACAACTGTTTTTTTACACGAGTACAGGAGAAACTGCATACACTTACATTGGTTGTTAACCTGACTTGGTGATGCCATGTTGATAACAACTGTTTTTTTACACGAGTACAGGAGAAACTGCATACACTTACATTGGTTGTTAACCTGACTTGGTGATGCCATGTTGATAACAACTGTTTTTTTACACGAGTACAGGAGAAACTGCATACACTTACATTGGTTGTTAACCTGACTTGGTGATGCCATGTTGATAACAACTGTTTTTTTACACGAGTACAGGAGAAACTGCATACACTTACATTGGTTGTTAACCTGACTTGGTGATGCCATGTTGATAACAGCTGTTTTTTTACACGAGTACAGGAGAAACTGCATACACTTACATTGGTTGTTAACCTGACATTGGATTTTGGTTACTCCTATTTTGTGATTGAATGAATTTACAACAAGCTGAGAAAAGACAGCAATGTCCTGCTACACAAGCAACATTCAGATTTTAATTCAATACTTTTCTGATATCGGAAAAACATTGTTTTGTGAATTTTTCACATGATGAATTGGCTTCAACCCCTTTTTTTTCATGAAATCATTATTAAGACAGCATTTTGAATCCTATCAAAGACAAGCTCATCCAAAATAATCACCCTGCATGACTTTAATATTCAGGATCAAAGCTTTATAGTGTTAGTTATTTTTATACAAAAATTACTTTTATTTTTCATATGTCATCCACCATACAAATTGTTTTTGTTACCTAACTACTCCTGTTCATATTTTGTAATTAAAATATATCTTCTGGTACAAGAAAATTACTAAAACTAGTTTCTAGGTTAACTTCAACACCACATACCTAACAAACCACCGAAGATTTTTTTAAAAATCATGTGTATATTGCAGTTTGCACTTATATTTCTACTTTTGAAAAATCTCAACACTATTATCACTGATTATTGCAAGACACGGCTATGAACAAAACTCAGTGATTAACACAATACAATTTTATGGACACCAATTATCACATTATAGTGGGGTTCCGCTGTAAATGAATATAAACTGTCAGAGAGGTTGTTTGTGCGAAGAGTTCGATAAACATTTCTTAACACGCTGCATACACCACACAGGGAGGCAAATTGAAGTTTATGGGGGGACATTTAATCTCTGACAGGAAATGTGTTTATGTTAAAAGAGTCTTTAAAAATTACTAGCAATATTGTTTTTCAATCATTGTAATACAAACATATTTTACATAGTAAGTATAGTGGTATCATATAACACTGAATGCAGAGGCCTTAACAGGGCACAAAATGATAATTCAATCGTCCTGATGGCACCACTGGGAGCTCATTTTTTGTTCAGCTCTTCCACTAAAAAATAAAAAGTGGGGTGGGGGCGTGTTAAAACTTTATGGTGAGGTGTAGAACAAAAATTTCTTGTTTTACTACTTAATAGCATTACACTTGATACAATCTAATTCTTTGATACAGCACTAGATACATAAAATCTAATTCTTTGATACAGCACTAATAAAATCTAATTCTATGATACAACACAATATAATATCTAAATCTTTGATACAGCACTATATAAAAATCTAATTCTTTGAGATTTATATCCTTATGTATTGTTCCCAATACTCCACTACACAGTTTAAACGCTACAATATGTATTATTTATTTTAATCCATTACAAGCATGAAGCTTATTCCATAGAAGCACATTTCTAAATTACTGCCATTTTATTTACTATAACAGTAATTTATGTGATTCCTTGTAATGACAGATTAAAAGAATTTATTATGTACCAGTACAATTTTGATTGATTGATTTTGATATATATATTATCACGCTGGTATCCATGCCACTTAAGAATGCTCACTGCGCTCTGGTTTTCTCAAATCTATTTTTAAAAAAAGTTTTAAAATGTTTCTTAAATGATTTTTTATCCTTTACAATTCCCCTCAAAGATTGAGGCAAACTGTTCAGTAATTTTGGCACTATCGCTTTAAAAGAGCGCACTCCGTAAGACTTTTTTCTGTGTTCATTTACACTATGAACACTCAGTTAGTACTGTGTTGAAGACTGCAGGCTCTTAAAGGATACACTTTTATAAATCAGTTCTTTGAGATATTCCGGTGCTGAGCCATCTATGCAGCTGTATGCCAGGGACAGAATTTTACAGTAATCTAATCTTGACTGGATTAGAGTTACCGCTACAGCATTGGATGTTCTCCTATTGAGTTGAGGACGCAGCTGAACCATGTCATGCAGATGACAGACGCATGCCCTGACCACAGAACTGATATGGGGAATCATACTAAGTTTACCGTCAATATAAAAGCCAAGGTCTCTGACAGTCGAGGACAACAATGCACTAATGTTCTCTTGATCAAAAAGAACTCTTAGCAAAGACTCAAGGCACAGTACTTGGCCCCCTTCTCTTTCTCTGTCACATGAACGACCTACCTGATACTGTAAAATCTCAAGTGAGACTGTTTGCAGACGACTGTCTTGTCTACAGAGAGATCAATAGCTACGATGACCACAACCACCTCCTTCAAGCAGTGCCTTATAAATTGGGCGGACAAATGGGGCATGAAATTTAATGAAACCAAATGCTACACAATGAGCATCTCAAGAAAAAAAATCAACCTTTATGTACTCACTAAATGAGACAATTTGTCCAAGTATCAAATAATCCGAACCTTGGAATTCTCAAATAACCTAAAATGGTTGCACCATATAACCAAAATGTAAAAAAAAGCAAACTCCACACTAGGTTTCATTCGAAGAAATCTGCGCCACTGCCCAACTTCCTGCAAATGAAATGCCTATCTTGCACTCGTCCATCCACTACTAGAATATGGTGCGATCATCTGGGACCCACACCTTAAGCAAGATGTGGACAAGATGGAGCGAACTCAACGAAATGCATAGCGTTTCATCGCACGAGACTACAAATCCACCACTTCTGGCTTCGTCACTGGCCCCTTAAAAAGATTTGACATCCCACCCCTTAAAGACAGACGAGAGGGACTCCGCCTGATATTGTTATAAAAAGTGGTCATGGGACTGTTGCCGGCCATCCCAGCAGGCACGTCCTTCACCCCACAGAAGCCGGGTCGATTGATCAGAGCCAAACGCTCACTGAGCACTGATTTCAACACCCACAATCCCATAAACAATTACACCCGAAACAATAGCAAATCCTTCACTCTGCCTCGGTGTAACACAGTGCAGTATAAACAATCATTCTTCCCACGCACAATAATTGCTTGGAACCACCTGGACAATGCCACTGTGAACTCAACAGCTGTTAGAATAGCAACATCGCTTCCCCAACTGATGCACAGATGCCAGTATATGGATGCAGCAACGAACACAACCAGAACCAGACAGGCAAATGCATGGATGCAATACTAGAAAACTTTATAAAATTAAAACATTAAATGAAAATGGTGTGTGTAATTATCAAAAAGATTTTTAGAGTGATTTCTAATGGAAAATGACACCTGTTTTCAAATCCCACTGCTTTAGTGCACATATCTTTAAAAATCACTTTCTTCATGAAAAACTTAACTAATAATAGATTATTCTTCAAAATTTAATAGCCTAAGAAGGTGCAATGAAACTAGCAAACTTTTTCATTTCCCTTTAGTTTTTTTTAAATATAATATAATATTTTAACACAAAATGTTCCACTCAGTGATAAGATATGCACAATACCAAGCTTGAAACTTAAGTGTTATTCTTGTTTGTAGACTGATTCAACTTAGTACAGATCATTCCTTAATAACAGATCATTAACATAATGCTTCAATATTAAACAACAAATCATAGAGTTGAGTCTTTGTACAGCTTTATTACAAGGAAATAGCATTTTTCTTCTTCTTCTTTCTTTTTTTCTTTTTCTTTTTCCCTTGTCCATCAACATCTGCAGTAGACTTGGCCGATTTCTTACTACCTCTGTCCCCTGCAAGCATTTCTTCTTCCTCTGCAGCGTCTTCAGCATCTTCCATGTTTAGGTTGGCTATGCCATCAGCTGCAGAATCTTCTGGAAGATCCTCATCATCAGCAGCACATTCATCAGCTAGTGGGGCAGGCATCCGATCCAAAAAGTGACGTCTCACTAAAAAAAATACCAGATCATCAAAACTATAGATTTTAAAAAAATAATTTTGAAAATTAAATAGTTCAGAGTTGGAAAGGATTAATCCTGATTACCAATGCAAGAATTTAATAGTTAAAAATCTAGTTACAACCAATAATTATAATGTTTCATATATAACTTGAAATGGTACCTAATTTTATTTTACTGATTGAGGAATTAAGGAAAGTAACCGTTAAATTTCAATTGAAGTTACTAAAAAGGCAGTTACTCTAATAGTCTAGTTTTTACGAAAGCCTGATGTTTACCACTTACCTGCAGCACTCTCACGGATATCCCATACTTTGAAATCCTTATTAGCACCAATACCAAACACAAAAGGATGATCAGGGTTGCAAGACACACAGTGAATAATGTCCTAGCAAAAGAATATAGAAAAAAGTTTTTAAAATATTTTATTAAAAAATTGTTTATAATGTTAGGACATGTGAATATTTTATAGCATAGCATGTCAAAATTTCATCCTTTACGATTTTGTAACAATGATTACAGATTGTTAAAAAAAAACATTTCCTACCATTTTCAGATTGCGACTGAGAACAAGCGATGGCTTACTATCCTTGATATCCCAGACTTTAAGGTGCTTATCTGGTGATGTCGTTACCAATAAACCTGGGATCTGTGAGCTTAAGCTCATACCTGAAATGTAGAATTATGTTCCCCAAATTAAGGATGATAGATAAATGCTCTGGTTTCTCACAGTTCTGTAAAAATTTATCTTCCACAACACTTTGGATCGGCCCATTCGGGGCGAATTCTTTCTATCGGGGAGAGGACTGAAAGATATAAAAATTCTTTTACTCCCCAATCTGTACAAATATACCAGCGTGCTCCCCCTGAAGTCACAAATCTTAATTTAGAAATAAATAAGACCCTGATATGGCTAAGAGAATTTACTGAATGGCTGTTATTTTCACTAGTGAAATAATTTAATGTAGATTTTTTTTTTGTTCAAATTGTTTAATTATGTGCTGAAAATGGACAATGCAATCAAAAAACATTTCCCTTTGTTTAGATCAATAAAAGAATCTTATCATAGATTTCTATACTTTATTTGTAGGTAGCTAGGATCAATATGTACCACTGTTTTAATGGATTAAATAGTTATAATAACCATGTTTCAATACAAATGTTTGGTGAGGGTAAGGAACAACAATAAATATAAAATTAGTGGGTCATTTATTTTTTACCTGTGACAGCTTCCTCGTGAGCAGAAAGTGTAAACAATGGTTTTTCCTGTCGAACATCAACTTCATAAAGCATGCCTTTATCTGTACTGGCCTAAATTTTACATTTTCAATCATTAAAAAAACTGGTTTTAGCTGAATAGTATGGTCATTTCTTATTTTTGCTTGAACAGAATAAATGAAATGATGCTTTTAGGAATGTTAACTAACTCAATTTACTAAAATTTTATCTTGAAATTTTTATTTCATAATTAAAGGCTGAAATTCTTAAATAAAATTGTTTCCAAACTGTTTTTTTCACAAATAAATCTGAACCTTTCGTGATTATATCAAAAGCTTTGTGAGACAATTTCTTCAATAAATAAATATTACCAAAAAGTTAAAAGGTGAAAAGTGATTCCAGATGGCTCTTTCCACCTCACCATCAAATTTCCATTTCTTTACATTTTCTCCTGGGCTTCTGCAGTCTATCACAGCAGCACAGCTTTAAAATAATGACAAATATTATAGCATATTTAAGTTTAAGAAAAACATGAGTCTTTCATGTGTCTGTAAGTGTCAGTTAATTCAGAATCTTTTCTTGTATTCATATTATTATATCAACAATCTTTTTTTGCAACTTTAAGGCAAGGACCTACAGGTTAAGAATAAAATAAATAAATGTTTAAATATCAAATTTGTAACTAAAAGGTACTTTGAAAGTAATTAAAAATAATTGAAGCATGGCAAAATTCAAGAAAAAATATTTAAAATGTTTTACTTATCAAAAGACCAAGTAATAAAAATGTTTTACTTATCAAAAGACCCATGGCAAAATTAAAGAACAAACATTTATAATGTTTAACTATCAAAAGACCATGTGATAAAAATGTTTTACTTATCAAAAGACCCAGTCAGAAGAGACTGTGGCTCGACTGGGTGCCAGCTAACACACTGAACCTGAGATAAACAAATAGAAACATAATTTTAAACAATATGATCAGGCTAAAATGATTTCCATACTGATGGTCTATAGTGAGATGAGACTCAAGTTTTTAAATGATTTAGTTGGTGATTATTAATGAGTTAATTTTTTTTTTAAGTGGCTCTGGTAGCTTACAGAAAATAATTCTACTGACCTGCTGATCATGATGTTTCAATGTTGAGACCACCTTTCCTTCAGATAAGTCCCACAAACACACAGTTTTGTCAGCAGATGCACTAGCTAATACATTCCTAAAATGAATAATACACTGTACAGTTAAAATAGGACTCCCACAAGATGTTTACCCTGAACTGTTTCTAAACTTCTTCTTTTTATGTCCTTCCGATTGTTATCTGTATATCAAGCACTTAATAAAATAATTGTATGCATATTATACAATTTCCTTAAGGATTTTGAGGCTATTTTAGACACAAAATAAAAATTGATATATAGATAATTAATTTCTAAAATTAGATAATCAGAAAAAAACGCTGCACAAAACTGCTTGGTTCTGTTTTCATATTATTAAGACTGCTGACCTAACATTTTTATTCCATGAAAGATCCAAAACTGAGTCGCTGTGACCTTCAGCCAACACTTCTTTCTGTTGAGAAGATTGTAAAAAATTGTAAACATATTTTCATCATTTGCTAGTTAAAATCTTGACTCTTGCTTATTATGTATTATGTGTTTGAAATCTAACTAAAAAACAAAATATTTAGTTGAGGAGAAATAGTACAGTAAATTTTTACCTTTTTCATTTTTTTCTTTTTGCTTTGTTTCCTTTTCCCTCCTAAAACTGCAACTGGTTCCAAGGAGTCAACAACATCCAGGTCCCAGATTCCAATGTCTGGCTCCATGGTTCCCATTGCAACAAAATTTCCTGAGGAAATTCAGGTAAATAGTCAAGAACTAAAGATTGAAAAAGCTAGTATATCAGTATATCATTTTAAATTTTGCAATGAAAATTAATCAGTTCAAGATATTGTTCGGACTTATTGGCATGATTTATATAGCATGCTATATTGTTATAGTGGATTTTAAATTTAACTTCTGTAATTTTCAGATAGTTAAAAAGACTGCTGATATTTATTTTCAAAACTTCGAATTTTATGTATCTATTAAGGAGAACGTCATTCTTAACATTATGATTTATGTTTTATGCTAAACATAAAGCTTCCAAGGGAAAGCTGCCTTTTTGAACAGTTGGGTCTCTGCATATCAGTACAGATATGGCATTTCTAAGTCACCAGCTAAGCACTAATCTTGTTTATCCTACAAGCGAGAGCTGATCAGATAATACTGTATGGTTTACCAATAGCTGGGATATAAATACTAATCCTTATTTAACAAATATATAAATCTATTAATTTTAGAATAGTTAAAAATAAGAAGAAAAAACAAAAATGTCAACATGAAAAATAAGGCTTCACTTACCCTTAGTGGCATCAGCCACGTCATAATCCAACCACTCAAGTACAAGTGGGAATGTCGGGAGAATGTAATCGTGATGAATAAAAAGATTATTCAGGTCTCCATTGTAAACTGAAATTGGAATGATTAACAGTTTGCTACTAATTATGTTGTTATTTTTATTAACAAACTCTCATCTATTAGCAGACATCTTAAGGCTTTTATAATTTAAAATAATATAATGTATTATTAAAAAAACTTAACAATTGACCATGAAGTAAAAATTTTATTACAAATATTGATTTCTAGTTAAAAAATAAAAAAGAGCAACAAAATTTACAAATGGACATTTATTTCATTCAAAAAGTCTTACTGTGTACTTCCAGTACAGCTGCCTCCTCCGTTATTCTGCCTAAGGCAATGAGATTGTCAGAAGGTTTAAGAATAAAATCCTCATCATCACTGTCAACCTAAACAGGAAATAAATTTTAAATTTACTAATAAAGTATCTGCGTAAGAACACTAAACTAATGGACATTTAACACACCTTTGTAATTATGACAGATATAATTAACAGAGCTAATTCAGAGACACAACATTATTTTACAATATGTAAGTATGAAATTATCATTGTTAGGTTCATTAAGGATGACTTAATTTTACAATGCTACTTACATCATTTTTTAGTGTGATGTAGGGGTCTTCTTCATTTGATGCAAATGGTGTTAGTCCTCCAATTCCATGTAAATAATCAGTAGCTTTCCATAAAGATTTGGATAAAATAAATTAATAAGATTCAAACAATTAGGTAAAATAATGAGTCTTTATGTTAAAAATGGCAAATTTTATTAATTTTTTAAACATCTCTTATATTTGTTTAAAACAAGCTAAGATAAAGTGCAAATTTCAAGCCTTTAAGTTAAAAAATGAAAGATGGTGCATTAATATTAAATACAGATTTTTCCCATCATGATATTCAAAAATCGAAGTTTTTTGTTGTTATGAAAGTGAACAAGCATGAAAGAAATTGTAAACCTACACATGTCATCATCATCATAGTCATCTAATCCATATTTAGCTGCTATGTCTTCATCTTCCTGACCATTTTCATCACTATGCTTCCTTTTTTTGACAGGTCTGTCTTGGGATTTATTTTTTATGCTAGCAGCCATTTTTGTTGCCTTCTTTATAGCAGCTGAAAATTCCTTTTCTTCATCATCCTCACTTTCAGCATCATCATTGGATGCATTTTCATCATCAATCAGCTTCCTAAAAAATGAAATTTAAAATTGTTTATTGAAAATATATTGATGTTAAACAGATTATCATAATCAAATTCCTGAAATTAATCCTTAGCACTTTGAAATAAGTGGGGTGGTCAAATTATGAGCAGGTCACAGGAGATTTTCATAATATTTTCTCTAGGTACATTGATTCTATTACAGAAAATTTTTTTGAAAAAACTGAAATCACTTTATATTCCTGAGAAAAATTGGGTCACAAGTTTTGTCCTCATTTTCAGCTGCCGTGGTTGACTAAAATATCTGAGTACTTCATGGAATAATGAAATTCAATTACTTCATGGAATAATGAAATTCAGAGTATATTTTATAAAATCATAGTAGCAGTTGCAATCGGTTTTTATAATAGAACAACTCTTATTTTCAAAAGGTTTTTGTAAAACTCCCTAACCCGACCTATATTTGTTACATTACATGACTACATATAATTTAATAATGCAATCTGCACTTATGAAATTTTTTTATTGATTATATATAGCAGAAAACACAAGGAAATACAAGGTACCACATATTTTTTTCCATGCAGCAATCGCCTATTTTTAGAAAAGTTCAACTATGGTTAAACATGCAAAGCTGTATTATAAATTACACTGCTTTGTTTATTGGTTTTAGTGTGTTTTTAGTTACACAATAATAATTTACTTTAATAAGTCTGGAGGTAAACAACAATTAATTCTTTAGTACTCTTTTGCTTAAACTAGAATATTATTTAATGCCTGGGGTCTGCTTTTAAGCGGGTTATACACTTTTCAGGCTTTTCCCAACCAAAATTATGATGACCACAACCACCTTGAAGCAGATTTGAAGTGCCTTATGAAATGGGTGGACAAATGGGGCATGAAATTTATCTAAACCAAATGCTACACAATGAGCATCTCAAGAAAAAAAACATCAACCTATATGTACTCTCTAAACAAGACCATTCTCCAAATAATCCATACCTTGGAATTCTAAAATGGTCACCCCATAAAAACAAAATTTAAAAAAAAAACCAACTCCACACTTGTTTCATTCGAAGAAATCTGCGCCACTGCCCAACATCCTGCAAACGAAATGCCTATCCCTCACTCGTCCGTCCGCTACTAGAATATGGTGCGATAATGTGGGACCCATACCTAAAGCAAGATGTGGACAAAATGGAGTGAATACAACGCAATGCAGTGTTCTTCATCGCAAGTGACTTCAAAACCACCACTCCTGGCTTTGTCACTGACCTCTTAATAAGATTTGACATCCCCTCCCTCAAAGACAGACGAGAAAAGCTCCATCTAACATTTCTCTATAAAGTGGTCACTGGGCTAGTGCTGGCCATTCCAGCTAACATGTATATAACCCAGCAGAAGCCAGGTCGCTTAATCAGACCCAAATACTCAATAAACACTGACTTCACCTCTGACAACTCCATGAGAAGTTACATCCGGAACAATGATAAATGCTTCACTGTGCCTCAATGTAACACAGTTTAATATAAACAATCATTCTTCCCACGAATAGTGATTGCTTGGAACCAACTGAACAATGCTGCCGTGGACTTGAAATCACTAAAGAGTTTAAAGGCTGCCCTGGTACCCGCTAGGAGCGGTTAGGCTAGCTGCAACGTTTCCGAAACCGTTGCACATATGCCAGTACTTGGTTGCATCAACGTAGTCTATCAGAATCAGAAAACTAAAGGAAATTGTGGGGAGGGGGGGGAGGGCGCTTATATATGAACAGGCTTTAGACTTTAGAATTAGAACAAGTAGGCTGTAGTGTAGGCCTATAAATTATAACACCTATTTATAATACACAGAGAACATTTTCTAATAGTCAAAAGAATTACTCACTCTTGGGTTTCCTGTATGATTCTTTTGAGTTCCTCTTTTTCTAGTGTGATCTAGGAATAATGAAATTTAAAATTAATCTAACAGTCACAGATTAAAAATTAATATGTGCAAGTGAGCTGTGACAGAGTGTGATTTAAAATATACTTAACTTATTAATTATATATAATACTGACATTGACTAATACTTTTAATAATTTTTAAGGTATACTCTATTTCTTCTAGGAAAAAGTTGTTAAACAATAACATAATTTTTAAAATTTAAACATAAATGTAAGACATGGCCATTGTCCTTGGATCTGTAGTCTGTAGCAATATCAATAAGAGTGACAGTATCAGGTATGAGAATAATAACAGAATGAAGGCACCATCACCATCACACCCACACTGGTCACGGCCACGGTAATAGAGTATAGTAAAGGCAAAGGAATACGGGATAGGAAAAGTCAGAAAGTTCAATGACACAGGGTCTTCTAAATTCTAAGGGTAAGCGCTAGAGCTGATTTCAAACAGATCATTTATTAATATAGGCATCAATAGGCCTATCGAAATCATCAATTTACTATTACTATAATCATCGATAACTGGCAGCCGAGTCTTAAAATAAATGGCAAAAAAAAACAGCTGTAACTATTTTTAAAAAACTGTCTTAATATACTTAAATATACTAAAACTTTTTATTATCATACCTTATCTGGATTTTGTTTGGCGCATCCCTGCTTTACCCATGCAATACAAGGAACGATATTTTTTTTATTTCCCGACATTGTATTGTATTTTATAATTCACCAAAAGGTAGTCATGTCATGCTTTCATTTTGATAATAAAAAAGTAAACTCCCTTTACTCTCCGGTTTCTCACAGTCACCCCCCTTTCCAACCAATTTATCAAATAGCTGGATTGGCCCTGTTTTTTTAAAAATAATGATTATTATAAAAATAAATACATGTAGACCTCTAATACATAAATACTCAGCCTCTCGAGGATAAGTCAATAAACACCTCTCGATTTAAAAATATTTCTCGCAGGCCCCCCCCACCCCACCCCACACTGATTTAAAGTATTGTTATTAAATAAATAAATATTTGTTTTCTCTCTAATTAATATACTAAAACACATTTTAAAAATCCACCAGCATGGGCGCCCGCAGAAAACTTTCTAGGGGGGGGGGGCAAAAAAATCGATTAACTTTCTAGGGGGGGGGGGGGCAAAAAAA